ACTTTTTACCCTTTTTACACTTTTCTCTCTCAATTTCTTTATCTTCTCTTGATTTTTGTGATTTTGTTGTGAACAAACATTTTTGAGGAGATTGTCATCTTGATTTTGTGATCTAAATTCATTTGAATCATTATCAAGGTACAATTCAAAACTTTAATCTCATGTTCGATCAATTTTTAAGGATTTTATACATTTTTATAATGGATCTTGATGAGTATGAGTTGTTTGTGGTTAGAATAAGTATTTGGAATGATTTGGTTAGAGAATTGTGCATGCTTTTGGATGATTTAAGGTGAGAAATTGACGGTTCTGTTCATGAATAATCAATGATAGATGAACACCATCAATAGTGTACTATCTAACCATCGATAGTTCACAGGAACCCATCGCTGGTTAGAACTGTGAACTATCGATGGTTAGAAGGCAGAACTATAATTTTTGACCCTTTATCATATTTTCTTCATTTCCTAGCCCTTATATTTATGTATTCTATACTAAATTAAGTTTATTTACTTTTTTGGAGAACGTCTTCATGCGAACTCAACCATGGTGATTAACTTTCTATGAGAGATATACAAGAGAAGTATGAGAAACTTCCTCTTATATTTGAAAGGAGAGTTGATATTCCAAACTTGGAGGAGTATTCTAATATCATGGAAATACTGAATAGAGCTGGCCTAAGCATTATGATGGAAAAGGAGAGGTGAGAGTGAACGTTACCCTCGTGTGAGAATCCTACATGAACTTCACTAAAGAGCATGGGTCCAATTTAGCTTTTACATGAGTGAGAGGTAAGGAAATCAAACTTAGTGCTGCTTACATTCAGAAGGTCCTTATATGGATCCTAGTCTGCTACTTCATAGAGTCTAGAATCCTCTAGACCTACTCAATGAACTCTACAATCTCTAAGACTATCTCCGGCAGGCGGAGATTGGGGGTTTTTTTTTGCTCCAGCAGGTAGAGATCGGGGGGGAGGGGGGATGATATTTTGGGAGATAAATACTAGGAATTAATTTATAATTTTTATATCAATAATTTTTATTTTTTTCACCTCTATAAATAGAGATTAGTCTTGTGTAATTTGGAGACCAAAAAAAAATCTGAGTTTTCAACACCTTATTCTCCTTCTCTTTGCTTTATGTGGGTTATAGTGGGTTCCAAATAAAGTAAAAATCTTTTGAAAAAACTCATGCTGTAGAGATGATAGAAAATGGAGATTGTTGAATTATGTGGAGGGGGAATAAAGTGATGTGGCAGGAAAGAGAATGTTAAAATTTCGACTCCTGATGGAGATAGTCTAAGAGAGAGTATGGAACTGATGAGGAGAGATATGACACTGATGTAGATTGATATGACGTTGCAGCACATCTACTACGATGCATCGCTATAATATATCATGAGAGCTATTCATAGATCAGATCGTTCTCTTGATTGACCTCCAGTATATGTTGGGTTCTTTACTAGAGCAGCACAGCCTTTAGGAGCTCATGGAGGAGATGGTCTTGATTAGGACATGTAGAGAGGTGATGAGGAGGACTGAGAGATATATTATTTTAATTGCTGAAGGTTGATTATTCTTCCTTCTTTTTTGATTTTTTTTCTTGAATATGTATACTCTTTTGGTGATACTTGAGATTATTTGTCTGTACCAACTCTTTATCTGCACTCTGGTTGCTTAGATAATTAGCATAGTTTCCTGTTAAAGGTACATAATTTGGGATTTTAATTTTCCTTGATTTTTCTTTCTTTTTCTTTTATAGGGTTGTTTTTAGATTTTTTTTTTATTTTTTATAAAAAGGAAAAAAAATCTTTTTTTTCTTTTTTATTTTCTGTGGAAAAAACTTTGAACATGCCTATATACGTGCTCTTACAAGATTGATACAAATGATATTATCTTATGGTATATGACTTAATTATATCACAAAGGCTCACATAAGGTTTTCAAATTTATGTATGTGCATTTTTGCACATAAGGATAAAAGTATGATTACTTGATGCATTGTTTCATTAGATATTTTGTGTTATCACATAGCTAGTTTTATAGTTATCATAAGTTTTTGAGCTTGCTTTTTTGACTTGGATAGTGCACACATTTATTCTTTATATGTGCAAATGTGCATTGATGCTAAAAAATATATCAAACAAAAGAGTGTATTTATTAAAAGATGATCAAATATTCACACTCTCATGAAATCCATAAAAAAATAAGTCTATTATTTATAAGATATTTTTGGAATATATCAAGAGTTTTTAAGCTTGTTTTCTACTTGAATAGTGCACACATTTATTCTCTATATGTGCAAATGTGTATTTATTCTAAAAATATGTCAATCAAAAGAATATATTGGTCAAAAGGTGACAAAAGATTCACACTCTCATTAAATCCACAGAAAATTGAGTATAGTTAAAAGATTGTTAAATGCCCATACTTATGGATTATATTTTTGCATATCTCAAAGGGTAGAGTGATGGCGTAAATTGCCCGTCAAAAACTATCCTACTTCCTTCTAAATCGTGTACGGCTGAGGTGATAGGGTGACACTTTGGTCTTTAGTTTTTAAGGTTGGGATAGTTCAAGTCTTATTATTACACATTATTCACTTTGATATATCTTTATTTGTCTAATGAACTAGTATAATTCTTTTTACTACTTATTTCATATACTTTACATTGATATTTAATTATTTTGTATGATTTTTATGTGACTTCTCTTGTATTCATGTATTTTATGGTTAGATTTTAATCTCTTGTGCTACTTTTATATAAATTTTTTGTCTGAACCGATGTGTATTTTTCTTCTTTAGCCTTTGCCTGATTTTTATTTGTTAATACCAAAAGTGGAAAATTTTGGTGTGAAATTTGAAATTTTTGGTGATCTTTGCACGAGTGGAATTTTGGTTTAGTGGTTTCATATTTTTTGAGTTCTTTTTAAAATTTTGAAAACACACACGATGCATTGCTTTAGGAGGATTATTTCATATCATTTTATGAATGCGTGAATGTTAGGGGAGTATTGCATAATTTTTTCTCTTTTGCATGAGAGTGTATTTATACTGATTGTTTATTTATCTCAAATATGCATATATTCAACTATTTCAAACTGCAAGTTTGTTATTATCAAAAGGAGAGATTATTAGAATGTACTCCGTACAATAGCTCTATTTTGAGTAATAAATAAATCTCATTTTGTAATAATATTTGTTTGAGATGAAATAGTATAGGTGAATATATGTACAAGACGTGTACGAAGCAAATGCTGATTTCTGCCTTTGTACCATCGATGGTCGTCAGGGACCCATCAATGGGTACAAAGTCATTAATGGTCTACAGGAAAAAATTATAGAATTTCAGAGATAGGATTTTAGCTCATTAATGGATTATAGGAACCCATCAAGGGCCATCGATGGTCATGAGCAACCATCAATGGTGAAGTCGACTGATTACATATTTGAGGATTGAATCACAGTTGGTCGTTATTTCTTTTAGTCTCTAACTTCTACTATGTTTATGATGTCACTTTTCTAGTTGATTAAAGGCTATCTATGATTGAAATAGATAAATAGATGAGAGAATTCTAGGGTTGCGATAAGAGCTTTAGGATTTTGATTTGAAAAGATATTGGATTGAAGGTTTTGACCCCCAAAGCCACGACAAAAAAATTCTCGTTGATCTAAACATCTTTGGATCGCCTCAGCGAGAAGAGTTGCCCTTAATTTCATCATCTACACCGTTCTTCAACAATCTTCACTTTGATCCATAAAAGGATGGTTTGTCAATTGAAAAGGGCTGTAAGATCTTTCTTATTTCCTGTGGTTAATCTATATTTGTTGTTTTGTTTTAAACTTATTTTTACAACATACTTAAGCCGGTGTTAATTGAGAGTGGGACTAACTAAGACTATGTGTTACTCGTTGTGGAGAGGTAGATCAGATGACGGATTTCGAGTATATTCTAGAGTATAGTCTTTGTAAGCCTACTAAATTGTGTTATAATTCATAAGAACCATTGGCATAGTAAGGAAGCTCTTTCATATAAATGAAGAGTTGATGCAAGATTGTTATCCAAATCACTATAAAATCTTGTGTGGCCTTGGTTGATTATTTTTTTACTTTTATTTTATCTATTACAATGCATATTCTGCTTGTTTTAGTAAAAAATGTTAGCAACCCCCCATCCCCCCCCCCCCCCTCGGGGGCGTTTGCATCTCAGATCTAATAGTAAACATCCATCTCGTAGACCAACAAGTATGACCCATACGGAGAGGAACAAGTCACTTAGTGGAATATTCTTTAGACTTTGAAATAGAACTAAACTAACCATTGAGGTCGTTTGAAAGGAATCCAAATGCAAGAGAGTAAACATTGTGCACCACTAGAAACTTTTATATTTTTGTTTTACTTAGAAATGATTGATTGTTTTAGATCCGGTTTTTTCATAGAAACTACCTTTAAAATGTGGGTCATTGCATATAAACCATATTGCATTATTAATTTATATATAACCTATCTTTAAAGTAGTTTTTGTTATAATTAACCATCTGAGCTCACTTTTTAGTTAAGTTTTTTCATAATTGACCCGCCTAACCTCAATTAACGATCATATCTCTAATATACTTGCTATTTGACAACTGATTATTATAGCAAAACCAAAAAAAAACCTTAACTTGAAAATGAGTCCAAGTAGTTGATTACAACAAAAAAATACTTTAAAGGTAGCTAATGTACAATTAACAATGAAAGATGTTTCTATAAAATAACCCTGTTTTAAAGGTGGTGTCTATTAAAGAAAGCCTTTGTACATCGAAGTACACTAGTACTCAGCATATTATTAGACAATCTCTACCGTTTATCTACTCTTGAGTACCACATCAAGGAAGACTTTCCGTAGAGGAAGCAGATGGAGAGACACACTTACTACCAAAAATCATTTTCAGCATGTACGTACTCTGGTAAAGTCCACAACGATAGAACACGGTATGTTTCATTATGATATTATTGGTGGAACACATAAATAACCGAACCACTTATTTAATTATGAAAGAAAGTATGAACGTAAAATTAAACACTGAGATATGACCCAGTAGAATATTACTTGGCTGTAGATTGTGTTATGAGAAGTACTGGTTGTACATCATCAAAATGTTTCGATCTGTGAAAGAAGGTCGACCATGCTCTGTCGAGGTCTATACATGACCCGGAGGGGATCAGCTTTGTGGAGTATAAGCCCCCCGGTTTCCTCCATATCGATCAACCCCTCCCCATCCCTCTCCCACTCGAAGCACTGAATCATCATCCCCAACGCCAACCCCACCAACCTCATCGCCATTACTTCGCCCGGGCACCGCCTCCTCCCCATTCCGAACGGCAGCATCTTAATCCCACCCCCAACAGTACCTTCCCCTCCCTCAACGAACCTCTCCGGCCTAAACACCTCGGGCTCCGTCCATAACTCAGGGTCCCTATGGATGGCCCACGCGTTCACCAGCAGTATTGTGCCGTTTGGAACGCGGTAGCTGCCTCCTACTACGCACTCTTCGTGTGACCTGTGGGGTGCGAGCAGCGGGGCTGCTGGATACAGGCGCAAAGTCTCGTTGATGATTGCTTGGAGGTACGGGAGATTGGGCAGGTCTTGTTCTTGGATCAGTCGATGGTCCTTCCCAACGAGCGAATCGATCTCGGTTCTGGCCTTGTGGAGTACTCCTGGGTGGTTGAGGAGAAGGGACATCGCCCACTCTATCGTTACGGATGACGTGTCCGTTCCTCCGAAGAACAAAGCCTTCAAGTAGGCAGTAGAAACAAATGAGTAAAAGAACGTGAACGGTGGAGGGATGAAAAAAATTCACGCGTACTACAAAAACCGCCTTTAACAGTAGGGTGACAATACGAAAAATCGCCTTTAAACTAGCAATCAACTATCTTGATCTATTTATTGATGATTTCGATTGAAATCCAAAATGCTCTTGAAAAAGGGAAAAATTACAAAATAGACCATTTTTATGAAATATATAGCGAAATAGACCACTTTGTAAAATAATTAGCAAAATAGACATCTTTTTTACCAACAGGCCAAAAAGAGGTCTATTTTGCAAAACAGCTCAGAAAACATATAGTCCCGTATGTTTTAATCACGGATTAGTGAAATTTTCTACTCAGAAAACATACGGGACTACTAGTCCCGTATGTTTTCTGAGTAACTAATCTGTGATTAGTTGGCTCTAAACATACGGGACTAGTAGTCCCGTATGTTTTCTGAGCCTTATTTTTCAAAATCGACATTTTTTTCAAAAAAAAAAGTCTATTTTGCTAATTATTTTACAAAGTGATCTATTTTGCTATATATTTCATAAAAATTGTCTATTTTTTAAATTTACATGGTCAAATGCTAGTCCTTGAAAAGACTTCACAGTTATGACTCATGAGTCTATTTCAAGAATACTTTGGAGATTTTTTTACGGAAATACCTTTTGGCTCGCGGCCGCCCAACTCGCGGCCGGCTCGCAAGAGCTGGAACAGGGGGGGTGGCCCCCCCTGTGGGTCCCACAGGGGGGGCCACCCCCCTGTGGGGTTCCACAGGGGGGGCCACCCCCTGTGGGTGCCACAGGGGGGCCACCCCCTGTTCCAGCTCTTGCGAGCCGCCCGCGAGTTTTGGGCAGCCCAGAGCCAAACCGCAAAACCGATTTTTTTACATAACAAATTGTTTACCAACAATGCCTATTTGGCTACCCCCCAACTCGCGCGCCAAGCTCGCAGAGATGAGGGAAAGGGGGGTGGGCCCCAGCATATTCCTCTCCATCTTGCGTTTGCGAGGTGGGCGCCAGTTGCGGGGGGGGGGCGCTGGGTGGAGAGACAACGAGGTAGATAGAGCTGAATTGACTTGAAAGGGCTTCTGGATTTGGTTCTACATTCAATTGAGATTAAAAAGTGATTTTTATTAATTGTCACCCGATTTCAAAATTTACGCGGAGAATCCAAGATTAGTGAACACTAACAGAGGTCTGCTAATTGAATAATAAATTAGACTATAGGCTGCACCACTATCCATGGTCGTATTGATGAGTTCTGGTCCTGAGTAATTCTCCGCGCTCCTCCTCTTGTAAATCCAACAAAGCCTCAGCATGCTCTTGGCTGATCAGTCTCCCCTTTTCCTTCCTCCAACTGCCTCTCTCTCATTAATCAACCGCTGAAGCTCTCCTCCTTCTTATATCCACCCAACGCCTCATCCTCTTCCTCAGCCCCCCCATCCACAACCCTCGCACCGCCCGCGAAACACAATCCGACGCGGATCGGAAACCCCGAATCATCGTCATCACCCTCCTCCACCATCTCCATGAAGCTCCTCGACTCCTGCGTCCCCACCCCATCCTCCGCTCCCCACGATCATCCTTCATCATCACCCCGAAAGCCACGCACAGGACCGGCTTCACGCTGCAACCTTCCTCATCTCTCGCCGTCCGTTGTTCTCCACCGAAGAAGCTTTCGGACAAGCACGCTGATCCTCATCGTCCTGGATGTGGGGCGAGCGAGGTTTAGGCGGGAGCCGAGAGGACGTTGGAGATCGAGTGGCGATCGGGGCAATGTTCCGCCAGTGGGGCCGTAGAGCGTGGAGAGGTGGTGAAGTGTACGTTGAAGCCCTTGGATGCGGGAGCTGAGGCGAGACGGCGAAGGCGAGCGCTCGTTCTTCGTGACAGCACTCGGACGGCGACGGAGAGGGGAGGAGACGACGAGGATGGGGTGGGAGCCGAAGCGGGGAAGAGGAAAGGCGAGGAGTGGGGGGAGAGAGAGGCGGCGAGGAAGCCGGTGGACAGGCGGTTTGCTGAGTGAAGGGTGAGGTGGCGATGATGGGAAGCGGAGGGGAGGCTCGCGGGTAGAGGAAGCTGGGGCTTACCATTGGGTGAGAAGCTTCTTGCTGGACGGGAAGTAATTCTGAGAGAGTTTGAGCAGGAGGAGGCGAAGATGGCTACGGGAGCAGAAGACAGCGTTAGGAGTAGCTCCATGGTGAAGACGATAAACAATTCTGTGTACGGAGGCATGTTTTATATAGGGAAGGCGTGTGCGTGGTGTGGTAGCGGAAATCTGCTTGCTGCCTTCACTTTCTAGCGGCCCACGTCCTGTTCGCACGCTCGAATTGAACTCGAAATAGTGTTGAAGGGTGGATTAAAAAAATATGGAGGCGCACTCTAATTAATGCACACTACCGGAACCATATTTCCTCTCTCTCTAACATGCAGGGAGCCTCCACATGTGTTTTTTTTTTTAAATCACTATGGGGCACTTCTGCAACTGTAGAGAGAGAGGGGCGAGGTGGGGTTCGTGTGTGGCTGTAGAGTGTGTCGTGGTAGCGCTCTCAGGTGTGATTTGGCATCTCGCACTCCTTTTTTGCAAAGTGTGGGTAGTGTGAAATCTTACTGTGTCACGTTTCTACGGCGCCACCCCCACCTTATTTTGGGCAATCTCGAAGACTGGAAATGATTGAAAGCGTTTGGTATTGGGTTGATCATGCATCCGCACTCCTTTTTTTTAAGATAAATTTTGTTGGATATTTTGGAAAAACTCAATATTGGCCTTCCTAATTATCACCTAATATAGATTCTCCAACTAATCTATATTTCTCTAAAGAGCTTTGACTATTTCTCCACTAATCTCTCTTTACCTCTCTAGCCCAATCCCAGTAATCTACGATCTCTTCTCTATCTCCCTATAATACCCTCCTTAAGTTCTTCTTAAGAAAGTGATCTCTCTCGTCTGATTTCTCTGTAATCTCTCTCTCCCTGCTCCGGAACAGAAAGCAAAGAAAGAGAGAGAATAGTGAGAAATCTATCTCTTTTATACAAATGGGAAGAAACAAAGAGTCACTGTTCATGCCTAGCGTAAATGCTACAGTAGATTCTACGTACCCAGCACTTACTGAGCAGCTGAGAAATTAAAAGACAATGTAGCCAGATCGGCCTACCTGTTAGGCAGCTCGGGAATGGTCACTGTAGCAGGCGAGTTACTGTAGCACGCCAGAGAAATTCAAAACCGGGAAAGTTTTAACAAACGCCGGGCAAGACTGCTAGCAAAAAAAAAAAAAAAAACACCGTGACCTGCGCAGGGCTGCAACACTAGTAAAGAAGAAAAGACAAAAGAAAGAGAGAAAATCTATAGACCGGGAATTGTGCCTATAATTTTCTCAATAGTGTTATTTTGGGCAACCTTCTTGATCTGTAGCAAGAAGCTTCTCGCTCCGAGTACAGAGGCGCGTTTTCGAGGCGACTTGTTGCCATTAGGGTGGTGGAACCATTTCGCGTCAGCGACGAATAGGCCGGTCTGCAATCTTCTAGAGCAGTGATTATACGACTAGCTCCCGTCAGGCTTGAGTTTTTCTTATCTCTTACTTATTTAATTCGATTTTATTTGATGTTATAATCTTATGATTACAGATTTCCATAACTTCTTTTTAAGTAAGATCAATAATTTTGGGATAAAAAAGTTAGGAAGTAATGGCTGGTCGCGGGTGTGTATGTCGGTTCTGATTGATGTATGTCGTGTCTGATTGAATGCACGAGGCTACGACTGCCCATTAAGGAATATCTATCTTCAAAAGAGAGCAAAATACTATAAGCAAAGTACTAAATAACAAAACAAATGACAAATGATTTGAAGGCCCGGATCAATCCAAATCCCTGCATTCACCATGTTATCACCCTTCGATTTATCATCACATTTCCATATGTTTTCTAAGGGAATGGATCTGTGCGCTGGTCGGATGACCGTAAGACCATCCTTCCAGCCAGGAGGCTGAAAATTTCACCTCCTTCTCTCACTGCCACATCACTTTATTTAATCAATATTCTTCATTCCCTATCAACTCTACAGCAGGAGATTTTTCAGAAAGTTTTTACTTATTTGGACGCCACGCAATAAACCACCTGTCACTTCAAACATATACCCACCATATTGTAATTCATCTTTTATCCTATTTCATTATATATTACTATTTTATTATTATATTATTATTATAACTCATATATTTTACATTATTAATATAATAATTCATAATAATTATAATATTTTTAAATTATATATAATTAATTTAATTTCAATAATATTTTTATGTTAACATAAAATAACAACACGATTTTTAAGCATCGGGAAAACCAAACCACCCAAATTTATTAAAACATGCCAGAAACACACTAAATTGGTAATCATAATCGGAGGTTGCCAAACTTCTGCCCAAATGTGCTCGATGAGAATCTTTCTTCAGCTGAATATGTTGGGTCTATCTCGTAGTTCCCTCTAGTCTGATTATCTCCGTCAGATCGAGGTGAACATGGACTTGAAACTCCGGCAACACGTATGTTTGAACATTGAAAGAGGCGCTAGCAGCTAGGCATTGTTCGACGCCGTTCAAAGTCGATATTTTCCCAGTTTCGCGAATTACGTATCCGTTCATCCCTCTACTATCATGTTATGTAAATAATGCACGCCTCATTATTTTTCCTAAGACATCAAGATCCCACATTCTAGTGCTGGTTGGGCGACATAGCGAAGGTGCTTGGACGTACCCCGAAATACGCGTTCCACGGCCTTTCTTCCTCTCCTTTCCATGCCATGATTCCTGTTGTGTGCCCAAAAAATTGATGTTTGTTGGCCTTGGGCATTTGAATTGCACTGCACGAGACAGGCCACTTAGGTAGATTCTGTCCGCCCAAGATAGTATGCAAGATTGTACTCCGCCCCATTCACGCGTGAAGCTTTACCCGTGGAGCTTCACCAGACTCAATGTTCGTTAAAAACCGGTGCATTCTCGTCTATCTTTTCATTAAGTACATTATAATGTCCATTCAAACTACCAGGAGCCCTGAAAAAGCATGCCATATCACACAATCATATTGACGCAACTGTCCCGAGGATAACTATTTGCCGTTCCCCTTGTGTCACTAGTAAAACTGCCCTGCCAAGCCTTAGGACAATTTTTTCCCACTGCCAGTGCATGCAATCAATACTTCAATCATCCTGGGAAATCCATCGGTTCCTGTCCAACTTGGAAGCAACTCTGCAAATCTTCACACATTGGTCGTCGCGTATAGTCATTCATCTTGAAACAATGCTATTACACCCTCTCGCAAAAAACTTCGCGCAGTACACTCGATAGCAGTGGATTCTGCCTATCTGACGTCTCATCATAAGCATCGGTGCGACTCCATATGCGAGCATGCGTATGGCAGCCGTAACACTTCTGATAGGCGTAACCCAAGCTTGCCCGCATTATTGCGCCGTTGTGCTGACTAGTAATCGCTCGCGTAATTTGACTATAGAGTTCACAATTCGTAAAAGAGAGGCCTTTTCATTCGATACCTGCGTCGGAACTGGGCGTCAGTGTAAGTGCATGACTCGGCCAAAGTAGTCGGCCATGAGTCTCTCATCGCGCTCACCCCCCCCCCCCCTCCCCCCCCCCCCCCCCCCCCCCCCCCCCCCCCTTGATGATCTTCTATGTATGGAATTTCCTCTTACGTTGGTTGCTTGCGTGTTCTCCTTTGCAATTCTTCAAGTAAGTTCTCGCTGCCCTATCAAGTATTTTTCTTTCTATTTCCCATTGTTGTTGCGCACAACTCTTCTAGACTAAACCTCATTTAAGAAAGGATCCATTGGATGCTATGATTTTTTGAAATGTGCATAGGCTATACTCATGATGTGCATCTGATCGTTTATATAATGAAGGGTTAGTTGTTCAATAATTTGGAATTCACATGCCAATTGGCAGAGGACATGTGCATAGGGCATGCATGCTGCAGAGAGTTGTCAATTCATATTTTGTATTATTATGCAGTTGTAGTCATTTCATCCCTTTGTTGATTTTTTGCACGTGAAAGGTGCAATTCAAAAATTGTTTTGGTTTGCCCAGTGAAAGGTCAATTCATATTATTGTATATTATGCAGGTTGTAGTCATTTTCATCCCTTTGTATTTTTTGCCGTGAAATGTCAATTTAACATTTGTTTGTTTTTGCAGTGAGAGGTCAATTCATATTTCTGTATTATTATGCAGGTGTAGTCATTTCATCCTTTGTATTGGTGCAGTGAAAGGCATTCAACATTGGTTGCATTCCCGCAGCGAGTAGCTATTGGTATCTTTTTGACTTTATATGCAGCTGAGAATCATATCAATCGGCTTTATTGAACCATAAACAACATTTTATTCAAACATAAACAACCTTTTATTCAATACATTCAACAACATAGGCACCCACACAACTCCCAAAATTAAACAAACGGCACACAAAAATATCAGAAAAGAAAACACACAATCATAAACTCCCTGAGAAAGCTCTTATTTTCAAACAGGCTTCTTCCTCAACATATTATAAGCTTCTTCATCTTATCGTCACGAATCTTGGTTTGTTTTTCAGAGAATAACCACATCGTCCGTATTCTGGAATGAAGCCAGCGTTATTCATAGCCTGAAGCAAGTACTCTGCATTCTTTTCTCTTCAAATTTTCCCATGAGGCATGACTAGCTTAGATAACTCCTCCTCAATTGCCCTTTGATTCCTTGCACAGATGTTTTACTGAGGAAGCTCTAGCTTTCTTCTTTGCCACCGTCGCCTACCCTCTGGACGTGCTAACAAGCCAGGTTAGGGTCCCGATGATTCAAACATCCTCAGCCACTACTCTTTCTTTATAGAGCCACTACTACGGATGCATTTACCTCCTGCTCATATATTGGGTGATTTACGATACCACCTTCCACTCATCCGACCAATTAAACGTCGTACTATTTTCTCAAGTACAACTCTCTTGCCTTTGGATATGTAGTTCTTCATCGGGACCAACCGCTACGCTTCTCCTACGATGCCAGTACTGTAGCAGTCAATGAAACTGGATTCTTTCTGTTGATGTCTTTGAAATGACTATGGCACCGAGACCACAATATCCTCTCCTTTCCCACTTTTGGCGTTTCTCATTCCACGTTACTGTTGTAATTTTCACCCCAGAAAGTTTCACCTTTTGGTTGTTCCCCAACTTCACTATCATTACTAACGTTGAAAATAACCAGTTAGTTTAAAAGTATTGTCTTCGGTGTGGTCCAAGTTTCATTAACTTGATCTCTTTGCTGATTGTTGGGTTGGAGGGACAAAAACTGCTGAGGAGTATCCCACAAATTTCCCAAAGACATGACATTCTTGCGGGGTGGAAAATTCTGGGATATCTGTAGATCCGCTACTAAACCGGGTGTCGCTGGCTCACTCGACTCCGTGTTAGGGACAAGTCGATACTGGGGGAACATAGCTGCTTCCCGCGAACTGAGAGATAACCGTAAGGAGATAAGGGATATTGATGCCGAAATTTGGGTCGTAGGCTGGCCCGCTGTGTACTGTCTTGAGTTCGTCGGTGGGGAGATCTCTTCGCCATCGATGACCTCTCATCCCGTCGTCGAGCACCGCCACGGATTAAAACGGCGTTTGCAAGGAAGGGGAGGATGGTGGTGAAAGAGAAAGGACACCCAAATTCCAAATCATAGGGTAAAAGAAAGACCTGATCGAAATGGCCGGATTTGTCAGCGGATGACATCCCCCTCTTATTCTCTCTTTCTCCCGCTCGCAACGCTTGGCGTTCTCCCATCATTCTCCGCTCAGGCTCATTGCGCTGAGCTCTTATGCACTGCACTCCTACCTCCGCTTCGCTCTCTCGCCTGCATCTAAATTCCTCGATTCACTTCTGTTATTTTCTTAACTTAACTGACCATTTACCGTCAGTTCTAAATCCTTGACATGGAAAAGCCCTCGGATTGCGACAAACTGTCTTGAGTGCTGATACAAGGGTTTTAGGCCATGAAGCATCGTTCCCTTGTGTTGTGTTCCTGTCAATCTCTTGCTCATCCATAGACCTTCCACGCCCATGTACGGCATTATTGAAAATTGGGCTGATCCCGATATTTATGCAGTATTTTCGAGGCGTCTGTATAGTTGATGTTGTGGTTTGAGGGAGGTATGTTTTGAGGTTGGTTAGGAAAGTTGTAGGTTGTAGGGAAAGAAAATTAGTGATAGTTTTGCGAAGATCATGAAGAAACTAGCTTCAAATTGCATAGACAGAAGAAGAATTTTAGGGGGTTAGAAACTCAGATTGTTTTTTTGTGTCCAAATGACACAAAGTAGTCTCTATTTATAGAGTTTGAAAAATAAAAATTAATGGTATAAAAATTATTAAATTAATTCAATTGATTATCTCAAAAAATATCAAATAAAAATAAGGAGGAAAAAAATAAGTTGCCCAATAGAAATTCGCCTGTGTCTGCTTGCATCAAGGCACGCGCGCGTGGGCTTGTCACGATTCATCCGGGGTTGAAATTATTCACCTTCTCTCCGATCTCATTTATTTCACCCCACAAAAAATCCCAGCCTGCCTTCAAATACGCACCACAAAAAATCTCCTGCTGCATATGCGTTAAAGAGTACTCTTCTGGGCGGGGCGAGAAATTTGGAAGCATGAAAGTACTTTTGGAGTTGAGGGCAGGGAGGAAGACTAGAAGCCGTGCCATGACCCAGAGAATTTTAACCAGGTTAAACAATGAATTGAAGATATCGGTTAGCCGAAAATAATTAAATATTAACTTTTTTCTCCTCTGTTCTTCCGCTTTCCATGGCTTTTCTCTTTCCATCGCTTTCCAGTTATTTTCTTGTGTCAAATAAGGAAAGAAAAATGGAAAGTTGCTTTTGGGCGTCTTTTATATTGCTAATTACGCACATACGACAATAAAAAGATTTAACTCGAAACTGAAGAAAATTTATATTTTTTAAGGGTTCTTTTTGCGGGCATAAAAATTATCACTGTCAGATGGTATGCTCGATCTCGTACTCGTTGATGATCCGAGATCTTTCCCGTTGATCTTCTCAATTGTCACTTGCGGAGATGGCTACGGTCTTCTCTTGGAACTGATTATCAGAAGAGAGAAACAAAGAGCATAAATTAACTTTACGCCGTCTATGGGGTGTGATCATCTCTAAGTGGGCAATCTCCTTAAACGAACGATCTCCTTCTCCTCTTATAGGCTACGAAAGAGAGAGTCGTTGTGAGTTAAAAAAAATGGGCCTTTAATTGGTTGGATTATGTGCGATTAATTCAGGAGAAATGGCGTCGCTCAGAGAGCGATACTCCTTTAAAACAGAACCTCTCAAACATTCTATTAGAAAGTTGTTGATTGAGTTGGTGAAGTTCGCCCCTGAAAGTGTTTAGGACCGAGCCTTGCTTGAACTTGCGTG